CTTGAGGAGGAGGTGATCAAGATTCAAGACAATGAATACATTCGAGAAGTTCGATATCCGACCTGGGTGGCCAACCCGGTAATGGTGAAAAAGAGCAGCGGGGCGTGGCGCTTGTGCATTGATTTCTCCGATCTCAACAAATCCTGCCCCAAAAACAACTACCCTCTGCCTCACATCGACTACATGGTCGACGCCACGTCAGGTCACGAGCTGATGAGCTTCATGGACGCATACTCCGGCAACAATCAGATTCCCATGCACTCGGATGACGAAGAGCATACTTCATTCTACTCAGCACGAGGGCTTTATTGTTACAAGATGATGTCGTTTGGACTGAAGAATGCCAGGGCCACCTATCAACGTTAAGTCAATAAGATGTTTGCTAGTTTGATAGGTGTTAGCATGGAAGTGTACATAGATGACATGTTGGTCAAGTCTGTGTATGCATCCGACCACGTTAACGACCTTAATAAAATGTTTTCTATTTTGCCTGATTATTCGATGAAGTTGAATCCGAAAAATATGTACTTTCGACGTTGCTTCGGGAAAATTCCTAAGCTACATTGTTAGCCAACGCGACATCGATACAAATCACGAGAAGATCACAGCAGTCCAAGATCTCCGACCTCCGACCTCAATCAAGGGAGTCCAGAGTCTGACCGGCAAGCTTGCCACCCATATCTGATTAATCTCTAAATCGATAGATTGGTGCAAACCGTTCTTCAATGCGGTCAAGTAAAATCATAAGTTTGAATGGACTCCCGAATGCCAAAGGGCGTTGGAAGCCATCAAAGATGTCATTGGCGGGACACCAACAATGCAGAAGCCCCGACCAGGAGAAATGCTCTACCTGTACTTGAGAATCTCCGATGTCGCCATAAGTGGCGCCCTGATCTAGGAAGAAGATTATTTTCAACACCCGTTCTATTACATAAGCAAGGCACTTCACGATGCCGAGCTGCGGTATCCACCCATGGAAAAACTCGCTTTTGCCTTAGTGACCGCAGCTCGGAACTGAGACTGTACTTCCTTGAATACCCAATAACCGTCCTCACCGTATACCCCCTAAGACAGATTCTACATCGACCAGACACATCTGGTCAGATGGTGAAGTAAGCGGTCGAGCTGGGGCAGTACGACATCCATTACCGACCCCGAACAACAATAAAGTGGCAGGTACTATCGGACTTGTAATGTGTAGAATGTAGAAGAAGATTTGTGGTTATATCTCACTACTCTTATAGGGGAATACCTGTCCGAGTTGCCCGTGGTCAGCATGCTTAGGTGCCCAGGTTTGATCATATCTTTATCCTAACCACCTCTGAGTCATTATTAGATTCCTTCTTATCCTCTTAAGATTTCGTTTTATCTATTCACTAGGTGCTTTAGTTAGGTCTCTATTTGTATAGTTTTTGCATTAATCTTTCCATAAGTAGCACCGAGTATAAGTGAGATCCTTGAGTCGTTATGCTCCTTGAGACTTAGGGTCGACTTCCTTGGTCTTGGACGTAGCATCGCAATGTGGTAGGTCGCAGTGAAGCTTGTCTAGATAACTTAGGTAGCTTCAAATCTCCATTGAAGCCGATCTCGACCTCCTTTTAGTCTTTGAGTCGCTCCTCGACCTACTCCTAGTCCCTAGGTCGCACGCTAGGTATGGCTATATCATATAGGAGTGTGCAAAGTTTGACCAAAATGAAAAAATGATCAAAACTGACCGAAATAAATTTTTCGGTTGGGATTTTATACGTCAGATCAACTATCGATTTTTAATTTTAAAATTTTGGTTATTTTGGTATGGATTTTGCTTTATATTTAAATAAACTGAACTAACCAAACTGTGTAAAAGATACTATTCTTTTAATATTTTTATATAAATATATTATTTCTTTTCAACCAATATATTAAATAAACGTATTTAAAATACTAAACAAGTTTTCATAATAACCGATTGACTATACCAATTATTTTTACTTTCATTTGGGACAAAAGTTCCGTCGGTTTAGTTTCTTAAAAAGTTTGACTCGGTTATTTGGATCAGTCGGTTTTTTCAATGAACAACTCTAAGCACGGTGGCATTTTGATAAAATTGTGAACTTTGAAATGTATAGGCGGTTGCAATTCTGTAAATTCGTACAAAATATTACTGAATTTTTAAAGTGCATATCCTCACGCGATATAGTGCATCTTATTTATCATTATTGTACATGTACTTGAATTTTTAAAGTGCATATCCTCACGCGATGTAGTGCATCTTATTTATCATTGTTGTACATGTACTGATCTTTCATTAAATTATAGATTTGCCTCAAGTACTAAAGTGCAAATATATTAAAAGTTAAGAAATGAATATGAGTACCCTGAACCTATCTATTTTTTGACGAAAGTCTTCACCCTCCCGCCGACCACCGTGTAGCTGCTAATCTTCAGCACACCCAACCCGAGGTTCGATGTTAAATCCAGTTGCAACAGCACCCGATCCGTCATCATGTCCACTGTGATGTTCATCCTCATCGTCCGCCAAGCACTCGTCCTCCCTTGTGGCCTCCGAGCCTCCTCGATCACGGCTTCCTGGTAGTAGATCGTCATCGTCGTGTTTCGATACCTTAATGAATAGAAATTTGAGCTTCTCACAGATACAACGGCGGCGAGGGTTATGTTGGACCAGGACCACTGCGTGGCGGTGTCGGCGATGAGATCCACCCGCTGAACGGCGACTCCTTTTATCCGGATCATTGATACTCGGATCCTTAACACGGTGAGAGCGAGGACTGTGGTGGTGTTATCCAGGTTCAGGAGGATTCCGGCAGCGGAAGCGGGGATGGTGGCTATGACGGTGACATTGCTACTGGTGGCAGTGGCGACGAGACCGACAAAGTCAGCAGCATCAGACGGTGGGGCCGACGGGCACGAAGATGTGTCTGTGTGTGGTGTGTGTGTGTGTGTG